AGAAAGGCGCGGACTTTCTCAGGGTTCTGCTCGATGAAAGCGTTGTTGCCGATGTACAGGATGCTGCAAAAGCAGCAGCAGCCAAGTTGAGCGAGCTCATCGATGCGAAGCATCTTCACTTCGTCCCGCGAGCGGTTCTGGCTGACGAGCCACTCTTCAAGCTCGACCATCTGCACGTTTTCGAGGCCGATGCCGGCGTCGATTTCGCCAGTGATGATGGAGCGGGTGACGTTCATGCCAACGCGGACGGCCTGGTAATCATCGGGTGACATGCCGTAATGCGCAGTGAGTTCGTCGAGCTGGATCTTGCCAAACTCGCCGACGTAGCCGATCTTCTTGCCCTTGAGGGTGGTGAAGTCGGGAGTGATGCCGGATGATGTCAGGTACACGACACCAGTGAAGGGCTCATTGAGGAGAGAGCCAACCGACTGGACCGGAAAGCCACGAGCGGCGGCGGCGAGCGTATGGATCATCGCCTTGAAGCCGAGATCGACCTTGCCAGATCCAATGATCTCAGTGACATCCTGGGATGGTCAGCTGATGAAGTACGAAAGCTAATGATGACCATACACTAGGATCATTGGGCTCAAGGAGAGCGACTTTGATGCCTTCATCCTTGAAGTATCCCTTGCTCTGAGCAAGGTAGAGGGGAGCGTGGTATGGCGTAGCGTGCCTATTTACAGTCAGCATACACCTCGCTCGATCAAGATGCAAAGCGCACCAGTTGGTCAAGAAGGTGATCTTATCAGTCGACATCTTGACTTGAGTGCAGAAGCTGAGCTAGTCAGTACGCCAACATAGTGGGGAAGGGGTCATCATGAAGCAGCAATAGTCCTTCGCGCTGGAATTATCCAGATCAAGTTTGAACGGTATGATCTCAGAACAAGCCATCAACGATCAGGCCCCGGGGAGGGACCTGATCCGCTGATGACTTGAACACCCGCCATGCTTTGCTTCTGATGGTTGAGATGGGTACCTGATGATGCCATGCTGGGCACCTGTTACTTGACCGAGATGCAATTCTGGTGTGCGAAGAGCGAGGCCGAATAGGCTTCGCTTTGCTGGTTCGATGATAGCATCGTACCAAAGTGGGTTGTATTGGGTTGGTGAAAGCTGAATATGTGCGATTGGAAAACGTTGAGGAGCAATTGAGGACGCAGCTTGAGGCCACGGCTAGAGCCGGATACTTATACTTCACTTTTCATACTGTCGACTGAGGTCATGTATGGATAAATTGCTCACTGTAGGTGCATGTGTTGGGACATGGTGGGGCAATGAGGGGTACACTTCCCGCGTGGGTCAAAACACATCACTGAACCACAACACGCGTCTCATCATGCAGACGAGATGTCTTTCAGCAATCATCATTCGTTTAGATTCAAGTACGGATTGTCCGTAAGCCGTGGCTCTAATTTGGGTGGGCGATCTAGGTTCGCTGAACCACGTCCTTGGGAACTCACACGATGATCTTGTCTTTTTTCAGCGAACGGAATACTCCATCGAGATAGCTGCGTCGCGCCAAAGCCAAAAAAGTAAGAAGAGATAATTGCTGCAATTCCGTGGGCTGATGCTTTACGTGTCATCGAAGCATCAGCAAATGACACGCACTATGACTAAAACTTCCCCTCCGATGATCGGTAGTATGAAGAATCAAGGGTATCTCGCAGATGCAAAGATTCGTGGAATGCCATCGAAATTACAACACTACCATCCTTTCTTGCAGCCACCCGTCCAAGCCCTGCCACATCGAACTGGTCATGTCTTTATCTTCCAACCTCTGGCAGAAGTGTCTCAACGCCTCGCATCTCTGCTTGATCCATTCTTTCTTCTCCTCTTCACGGCCACTCTGCATCTCTCCAGCGATAGCGTGTGCTACCTTTGCTTCGCATACTGGACACAAATATGGCGGTTGTCTTACATCTTCCTTCATGCTACCTGTACCCTGCATATTACATGCATAGTACACGCAATGGTCGAGCGCGAAACAATGTCCTAGCTCATGTGACACTGTACGCGCGAGACGTGAGAACCAAAGCGCCTGTACTTCTTGCACCGATGATGTAGGCCCATATGTTGTCGCGGCTTGGGTAGCCGCTTTCATCGCCCCACTCTTGCTTAGTTCTTTCTGTTTCTTCGTCGCAGGTTTTGCGTTTACATCTTCTACAGCACATAATTCATCGACAAAGGTCTTGCAATGACTCCACGGCCACATGTGGTTTCGGTCGATCTCCTCTTCTTTTCGTTCATCCAGTATTGGGTTATATCGCGCAGTCTGCACGACAGCCACTCTGCTGCCTCCATACGCCCTGCCACAGCAGAAGTCGTCATCCTCAGACTCGTAGATGTCATGATCGACTAGGAGGACCATTGCATAAGCGTCATCAGGCAGAATTGAGATCGCTGTGTCGAGGATGTCGTCCAAATTCAGTTGAGCAGGGAAAGCAGTGTCTGGCGCAGGGCGAACGCGGATTCTGGTACACCGATCTCCATGTGATAGACCGATGTACTTCGGCAGAGCGGCACTTCGACAGCCCTTGGCGGACTTGGTATTGGAGCCCCATGATGTCCAGCTCAATGGCGTGGGGAAGAGGCGAACAGGCATATCGTGATAAAATGCAGTAAGATAGTCGACAAAGTGGTCTCCAGATGGAGGAGATGGTCCGGCTTTACCCTCGCCCTTGACTTCATCGTGACCGGTGGGTACTACCCAGTGCCTCATGAAGTCCGCCTTTATGCCGATTTCAGGCACTTGCACCACATACAACTTATTACTTCTTGGCGCCGACGATAGTTTGTTCCTACACTCCTCGTTCAGCCATTCCTTCGCACTCTGCGGTAAAGAATCTGGATCATAGTTGAGCTCGTCGTGAGGTAGGACTAGAGGAGCGGGAAATGTTCCAATGGGATGATCCTTGACACTCTTCGGCGCTCTTCCAGATGTCGTCTCTGCTGCTGCGCGTGCTGCGGCATCCGGCTGTTCATATCCAGCTAATACTGCGAAGGGCGACGGATTTAGTTGTAGAATGGTGTGCTTGCATGCCATAGCGAGTGTCAGTACAAAAGGAGGCGAGGAGAACGGAAGGGAGACGGGAGAAGGATGAAGACTGTTGCCTAAATGATGGCTGCTTGTCTTGGACGCTAGGCAAACCCCCGCGATTCATGTCTACACCTCGCTTCATCCTGCCGGCTCATCGTACCCAGTTTACGCCTTCCTTTCCTGTGTTCCTTCGGCCGTTGATTTACCATAGCGGATCGTTTCTTCCCCAGTATAGCAAACTTCCCCCAATCGCCAAGCTGTTGAAGATGCCAACGTAGTGACCCGCGATCTTGTCCTTCGCTCCATACGCGCTGACAATCACCGTGTCCGCGACGGTTGCGACTAAGCCCGCCATGACCGCAACTCCCAAGCTCCTCCTGTCTCGCAGTACCAGACCAAAGACTGCCAATAGGACGCCGTTCTGAACGTTACGTGCTGCTATCGCTGCAACCAAGGCTTTCTTGGTCTTCTGATCCTCGTCGTAGGTACTTTCGGTATTGCTGGATCGTTTCGCAGATGCGGGTGATGTGTTGGACTCGGCTGAGATGGGCAGACCGTAGCCATCAGCGAAGAAGGAGGGGTTGCGTAGACCTATTATCCCGAAAGGGACGATTTCGAGGGTTGCGATGAAGAGCGCGAGGCATTCCGCTGGCGGAGGTAGGTGGTGGAAGAGGTTGCGGGCTTGAGTTGTCATGGTGGCGGACTGGTTTGACCTTCAGGATGGTCTCGGAGAGAGTTGCAGCGGTGCAAGGCTTGAGAAACGAGACGAGACATGGTGTAATCTTATAGAAAGAGATGCCATCGATGCAGGAGAGATGTAGGTGTATGTAGACTTCCTCCAACTCCCATTGGCTGACGAGTTCGGACTTCGGATGCGGGGATCGCAGGGCTGTCGCGTCGACGCGTCTTCCGCCCCATCGCTTCGCGCCTCGTAGCTTCTACAACATGTGAACACCACTGTCAAGATTAACACGTGCTTACTGCTTCGATTCCCCTGATAAAATCCCGCGATGATGGCTTCCTGGCATGCGTCACAGTGAAGACACGTCTTCAGTGAACCACGCGCCGGGCGATACCGGCTTCTCCTCCACACCCAGCGAGCGCGCTGCAATGCCGAATGAAGGGGGAAGATGCTTTCACGAGAAAGGAAGCGTGAATGAATACAGGAGCTTCCCGGAAAGAGATGGAGAGTGAATATCGACTTCTGTCAACTCTAGACCTGGAGTGCACGGGGAAACAGGGTCGTAGAGGCATCAGGGCTGAGTGCATACCGGGAGGCGTATATGTGCTATCGCTCATTCACTCTGTGAGTCTGAGTGCGCATATTGGCTCGCAGTAGCGATTGTCTTGAGATTGGATGGGGTTACTTCCTTGGAGCGGATAGGCACATGGCAAACTCGTCTATCCGTGATCTCGTCCTATCAGAGGTTCGTCATCTCAAATATCAGCGCACGTAAACGCGTCGCTACCATGCTTTGCCTGGTATTGTGAAAGGCTTTGGAAGCGATACAATGCTTGTCTGCATGTGCGGTGAAACTAAGTTCACCTTTTGACAGCTCGACTGCGCCTGCTTTCTGTCGAATTTTGCCTCGTGTGGCGCTCTTTCCTTCCAAGGTTGTCTTCACTCGACCCTCAACACCACGGAAAGCTTGGACTCGCCTCGCACACTTCCGCCTTCACACGCACCTCTCAATTTTGCTAGCCGCTCTCTCCCCAGTACATAATCCGCCCTCCCTCACCTTTCTTCTCACTCTCTCCACACTCGCTCCTCAACTGCACAGCTACAGCTCTTGCGTTCCGAAGCCCCGACCGCCAAAATCTTCTGTCGACCTTGCGGAACTTGAGCCTTCCTTAGGCGATCTGTGTCCATCAAGCGAGCTTCGCCGTCATCTCCGCCTCCCACACCTCACGAACCGCGCCCCAACCCCCGACTCCTACCTCACTCGTCGAGCGATCGCATAAGATGGCGACAGCTCCTTCCTTCTGGGCTACTGGCGGCAGCAAGATCAAGTCCGCCGAGTCTCCAAATCCCAAGATCGCAGAGGCGCCGGCCAAGTCGAAACCGGACCCTCAACAGAAGAAGGGCCTGGTACTGAAGGGTATGACCAACGGCCAGACCACCAGCGGCGCATCGAACGGTCTATACCCAAAGGCCGCCACTGGCAAGAAGACCAACTGGGCCGACGAGGACGATGACGATAATACCTTCATCGCCGAGTTCATGAGCCAAGATCCCAAGATCGCCACTCTCGAGACCACTGTTGCCCTCAAAGAGGAGCGCGTCAAGGAGTTGGACGCGCTGGTGGAGATCAAGACGCTTCGCATTGCGGAGCTCGAAGGTGCGGTCCAGGACAAGGACGTACATATCGGCGATCTGGAAATGGAGGTCCAAAAGAAGGATGTTCAGATTGAGAAGCTCACGAAAGTGAATAGCGACCAGCTCGTTCACAACCAGGAGCTTCTACGCGAAGCTGTAGAGAAGGACAGCCAGATCAAGGACCTGAAGGCTGAGCTTGAAGAGAAGATCTCGACGCTTGATAACCTTGAAGACGCGAAGAAGGCTGCGACCATTAGCAGCCTTGAACAGGAGTCGGCCGCGCTCATTCCCGTCCCCACGAATGACGAAGAGATCACTGAGGATGAACGCAAGAACGAAGCATCCGAGAGCATTAAGTCTAACGGCGCCGATGTTGTTACCAAGACGAAGATCGAGGCTAAGAAGACCGCATCCGTGGCTTCTGATTCGGATAGCTTCAAGATCGTTGATGCTCCCGTTACTGAAGAGGTCAAGAACGAGACGCCTACGACCGTCATCACTAAACAGTCCGAGGAGACCAAAACCGCAAAGAACAACAGCGGCCCAACGCTCGTCACGTCCGCATTTCCCAATTTCGTGACGAAGGAGACACTCAAGGTCGTTCCTCCGGCTCCAAAGCCTAAGACCCTGACCTTTGGCATCGACATGTCCAAGTACGGGAAAAAGCCAGCACCGTCTGCTGCTGCAAAGACCCCACCCACATCGTCGCCCGTCGCTGAGCTGAACGGCCACACTACACCCTGGGGCCACTCGTCTAGGCAGGCGCGTGACAAGAACGGTACTATGCCGGAGCTCAACCCTTCGGCTGATATCCGCCACATGCCGCACGGGCAGCGCGTCGTGTTTGGTAACGGTCCTGAAGTCATCGTCAAGCTTGGAGAGGTCAAGCTGGCCACTATTCCCAAGTATGTTTTGATGCAGTGCTCGGGCAAGGCTCACAAGTACTTCACTGCCAACCCCGACGCGACTTCTTGGGTTCTGCTCGCCGGTTCGATGGACGCTGATGCTGCGACCGCACATCTGAAGTGGATGGACGAGATGACCTACCAGAGCAGGGTCTACTCTGTCCGTCTCCAGACCGAGACGGTATATGACAAGAAAAACTTGCACATCTGCCGCGCTGCCCGCGTTCTTGGTCTGAACAACACCTACGTGGCGCAGTTTACCAAGCAGTTCTGCGACCGCATCCGTGCTCAGGATGTGTCCTTCGAGTTCATGGACCTTCTTTGCCAGTTGGCGTACCCGGAAAACGACCCGGTCTTCGACTGCATGGTTCACAACCTTGTTAACCAGAAGAAGGTTGGCAACGCCAAGGGCGCGGCCGATTTGGACAAGTTGATGGCTAAACATCAGTCTCTGAAGGAGAAGGTGGAGAAGATCGAGAAGCGGATCGGAGGTCGTCCACGCAAGACCTGGAATTCGCCTGAGGGTAGTGCTCGTGGTGGGAGCAACGACCGCAGCGGCAGCAAGGGTGGAAACCGTGGCAAGTCAGCACCGCGCAACCCGCCTGTCGCACCAGCGCCTGGTAACAAGCCCGTTACTCCGGCGCCTGGTGACGCATTGTTCACTACTCTCCACTAGGTCCGCCTAGTGACATGACGCGGTGTACGGGAGGGAGGGATGGAGTATACCGTGAAAAAAAAAAGACGAATGATTGGCGACTTCGACGACGCGAGCGCATTCCAATGCGTTCAAGCGATCGAGAGTACTGTCTGCTGTGTAGTTCTTTGTATCTGCGACGGAAAAAAAAAGGATATATAGAGCGAAAGCTTGATTCATTGATAGGACAGTATAGGATGTCTGGGTGTATCTTCAGCGCCATCAAGGAATGTCAGGTGGTTATAGTTGGTAATGTCATCGATGGACACAAACATCTTTCATACGTGATCACTTTGTGCAGCAAACTCGTGAAATGTCTTATTGGGAGTTGTTTGTCTCTTTGATCCTGTCGTCATAACCAAGTGTGTTTTCTAACATCTACATTCTACACCCTTCCGACTCACACAAAGATACTTGACGCCCTTGTATGGCGTGACACCACTGCCCAAACCTTTACTCTTCTTCTGGTCTACATTCAAACTCTCCACTTTAATCCCACTCGGCAGCCAACCCTTGACGGAGAAGCTAATGGTCGCACAGCTCGGCATGAGGACTGTGTTTGCCTGTTTGATCTTCGCATCGCTGTCCGGCTTGGGTGCGCTGGACGATGAAGTCGCAGGTAAAGAGACTTGTGTACCCTGATCATCATCGTAATCGTATGTCGATGTCGCGAACGATACAGGTCCACCAGCGTCCAACGCGTCCTCCGCAGATGGGTCGTCTTGGCCAATGACAGTTCCGCGTAACGTAGCCGTAGCACCGACGCCTCCACCCCGGTCTTGCGACATGAGATTGCTTATCTCGCGACTGCTAATGCGCCATTCTATTGCCCTGTCCCCGGGCGCGTAGCCTGCATCTCCTGTTCCGCGCGCGACGCGCAGATCCGCGACGTTTCTGACGGACGCTGGAAGTGGGATGTGGATGGTCATTTCTTCGATGGCGGGGGCGGACGTGGTTCCTGTAGAGGAGGATACGCGTCCCAGGCTCGCTTTCGCTGCGCTGGGTTGGGAGGGCTTGTTTCCGCTGAAGCGTGGGTTGAGTTGGAGTTTGACTTCGAAGTCTGTGCCGGTCGGGCCGAGGGAGGAATGGACGGATACTGTAGCTGGTATGTTTAGTTTTGGACTTGAAGTCTTTGCGTTCTTCTCTGTGGAGAAGGCATCTAGTGCTGCAGAGCCCAGCAGGTCCACTTCGTACCCAGCGAGCACGAAGCGACCGTCTGGTGGTACGAACGAGAGTTCACCAGGCCTCGCTTTCCACTGGTTGAGTCTGACGCAAGGATGGAAGACAGGTAATGAGACCGCATTCTGTATGCCGCCCGCGCATCCCAAGTGTAGTATGAGATCAGGTATTCCCGAGACTTTTGCCGTGAAAGCGATCGTACCGTTGGCCATGGCAGCTAGAGGGCGACCAGATGGCGACAAGGTGACCTCTAATGTTTCCACGATATCCACATACATCTCATTGCTCGTATGCCTGACATTCGCTCTTCTCCACGGCACCGGTGAGCCTGTCTGACTTGAGGTCGGTGATGGTCCTAGTCGTGGGCTTGCTCTTCCACCACCTAGACCAAATGCTCCGGTAGCAGAGGGCGCGAGCGAGCTCGGTGTTGAAGAGGGCAGTCCCACTCCTCCCAGTAGACTCTTGAGTAGATTCGGCGCTTCGACGACATCTCTCAGCGCGTTCGGTTCTGTGTTCGCGATGATTCCGCCATCCACCATCTCGCTGAGTAGCTGCGCGACGACATCGTAGTTTCCTTCGATCTTGCTCGCCAGTAGTGGTGACCCTAGGAAGTCTTCGAGTACGTCGGTGAGGCGGTGGAGGAAGGTGAGGACGGCGAGGGGATCAGTGTCTGCTGATGCCGGGCACAGGAACAGAAGCTGGTCTTGTGTTATGCTGTATAGCAGTGTCGGCGGGTTGGTGTTGGGCAGATATATCAGCGGCGGCCGGGGAGCGGGATGCGCGAGATAGAGAGGCAGGAGGACGGAGGATGGAGGCGGGCGGTTGAGGTATGTGTGCTCGAGCAGTGGAGTGCTGAGGATGTTAGCGACGGATGACGTAATCGCAGGAATAGACGCGTCTTACTTGTGCTCATCAAAGATGTAGAGAGCTTCGATTGCGCTCATGGTGGGAAATGTCAGCTGCGAGCCATGCGCGTGGGAAGACGTGAGGTCCGCGTCGTGGGGCAGTTTGGGCGGGGAGCTTCCGGAGCTAGAAAGATCCCTGCATGCCTAGCATGTCATGCAGACTTCTGGTCGCAAGATCTTTACACGATAGAGCCAGCGTGTTGCATCTGAGTTAGTCGCTGGGCCGTCTATCTAGCGTCGCGATAATGGCATTGCCACCTCCTTCCGCGCCGACCTTCAAAGAGGCTCTCAAGAATGACAGAGCGGAATTTGAAGATTGCACTCCATGTCGCGTAGTCGGTATTGTACTCTAGAACACACTGTATCTACCTCAGTACTGACATGGTTGTTAGGGAGCGCTACATTTCTGGGCCTCGGCGCCTTCACGTACGTCTCGGGCCATTCACAGATCAAAGCCAACGAAGCCGCGATACGAGCCAGCAAAAGCATGTTCGGAATGCGGAGCAGGGGAATGGCAATAACAGGAACAAGCGCCGTCATGGTGGGCCTGGGGTTATATCGGTGGTTTGCATAATGGGAGGGATACAAGGAGACGCTTGAAGGTCACAAGCCTGGAACGTATACCTAGGTATTGTAGGTGGAAAGACTTGAGTACAAACTTGGGCATGCATCGGCGTTTGGGAGTCACATCTTCACGAACGAGATGAGTCACTGCATATGGCATACAACAGTTGAGGACATGTAATGATGGTATTAACACCCTCCAAAAAAAAACGCTATCTACTTCCACCCCCGAATGATGTCCCACCCCGTAGAAAATGCGAAAAGGTATATAGCCTCCGAAATCAATAACACCACAGAATGCGTCTAGTAAGCCTCCCCCAATGCGTATGAAAAATGATCCACTAGCCCTGTGCGCCGTCTGGGTATGATGCAAGTAGTCGTGATTCGTCGAACAGTCGTTCGTGTCATTGCCTGGAGTTCGATGACAGGCCCTCAGGCTTCGAGCTGCGGTGCTATGACATGCGTCCGCGCTTGGATCCTCCGCCTGATGAGCCGTCTCGCCGGTCGTTGAATCCATCGACGTTGAAGAAGTCGTTCATGAGTCGTCTCTTCTGCCCTGCACCGTTGCCTAGTTGGAAGAGGTTCTGGGCGGCGGATCGCTGGAGGTTTCGGGTAGACGAGCGGTTCGTGGGGCGGCGAGAAGCAGGGAAAGCGCGACGGGCAGCAGCTGACATGTCGGCGGCGGCGGTTTCGTTTGGTGAATCAGACGGCAGAGCTTGGGCTGCGGAGAACTCGAAGATGTGGTGTAGCGGCGACATGTCGGCCTCGGTCGTAGAAGCTTCCATCTGGAGGGGTGGCGCAGAGTCAGAGCGTGTTTCCGTGACCGTCGCGGGTGCCAGCGTGCGTGAGTCGTCCATGCCGTGGGTTCGGTCCATGATGGGTGATGAGCTTCTGGCGCGGTTGTTGTCGAGGTATTCGTCGTCGCTGTCGCTGCTCGTCTGCTTGGGCAAGCTCCCGTCTAGTCGTTCCGTGGCCCACTGCCGTATTCGCCAGCCCTCGCCGTCGCCCACACCAATATTCTCCTTGTCGAGGAAGGTGAGCAGCTCATCGAGAGCCTCCTGGTAGCCGTCGGTACGGGCCCTGTCGATGTCGGCAAGCGCGGACTTGTATAGGTGCGTCACGTTGAGAGCAGCGGTGCGGAAGGACTGGTGCACGTCGTGCTGCCCTCTTGTCTTGGGCAGCGACTTGTTGAGGCTGCGCATCGAGTCCATGGTGGTTGTCTGAGCTGTTGGCGGCAGGTGCGGTCGTGTCAAATCTTTGTCGGGCTCCACTGCGTTGTGGCCGGTGTTCGGCACCCGCGGGCGATGCAACCGTGATGGGGAGCGTGATGGAAGAAAAAAGAGTAGATGAAGCAGACAAGGTGAACGAGAGTGCTGTTCACTCGGAAGGAGCGTGGCTTCTCGTCGCTCGCTGGGTTGAGGTCGTGCGCTGCTCCTGGACTCGCGGGGTTGACGCTATCACGGGCTCTTAGCTCCGGGCTAGGCCCTGACAGCATGTGCCACCCTTCACCCGTCCCCGTCAACATGCTTGATTCACAGCCCAGCTTCCAGTCAGCATGCCATCATGACTTCGCACCTAGAGCGCCTTCCTGTCGAGCTGTTCGAGCTCGTTGCTGCCACTCTCAATATCTCGTCTCACAAAAGCCTTCGTCTTGCATCCAAGAGATGTCGCTTCCTCACCCATTCTGTGTTTGTAGAACGCGCTTTTTCCCGGCTAAAGACTACTCTTGGACCACCCTCTCTCAACCGTCTCGTCAACGTGGCGCAGTCGACTCATTTCCGTGGTTCTGTCAAAGTCCTACAGATCCAGCTCCTGACATCAGTGGAGTATAGTGTCCTCGCTGCTATCAGCCGTGTCGGCAGGTTTCCGCCACCCAAACGATTTCCCAGGGTACCTGGCATCCAAGACAAAGATATCAAGGACGAAGCACCCACATTCACATATGTCGTGGAAAGCGAGTATCCAACCCGCTTGTACGATGGCCTTGTTCGAGCATTGCGAGGCTTCACCAACCTGACGGCCATTCACTTCCATCCGAGGGGATCCCAGCTCGCGGAATCCAGCAGTCTTCTTTCCGCAACCGATTGCCTATTCCGTAGTAGATGCTTTCAGGTCGTCATAGACGCCATCGTTAAAAGCGAGGTCCGTCTGAGCGAGTTTCGTATGGCCAAGTGCAAGCGTGGGACTGCGTTACATAAAGAGGCCATCCTACCATTCTCGGCACTCCAAATACCTACGCAATCTCTGAGGACACTACATCATCGCTTTTCGCAACTCAAGATTCTCACTCTCTCTGCTTTGTCTAGAAACGATGACCTCTCTCGCACACCTGGTTGGCAGAATGGGGTCGGAAATATCATTGCCACTGCACCAACGTTGAAAAGCTTCACGATGAGTCTAGATCGGACTAATTATGCCGCAGCCATCGTTCACCACATGGTTGCTTCTTGCGCTTGCCTCAAGCTAGAAGTACTCCAGCTCATGTTCTGCGCATTGCATGGAAACGACCTAGTCGCTATTATCAGAAGCCAGGCCGCGACATTGCGACGAGCTGTATTCTCTGACCTTCGCCTTGTGACTGGCACTTGGTCGTCATTATTACACGCTCTAAAGGAGTGTGAGAATCTCGAACATCTGCGCTTCAGCTCGCACTCGGGGGCAGAGCATCCAGTTCGACGGCTGGACGTGGCCCGAGGACATCGTACAATGACCGATATGGTGGATGAGTTCATCGCCGTCTTCGATACTACAGCAGGTGCTTCTAACTCACAAGAAAGTGGCTTCGTTGACCCTCATCATCACGCTGGTCTGTCATTGGCCAGGGCAGGTACCACAGTACCAAGTGAATGAGAGACTCACCCACGGTTACCAAACTACACCACTCCGCTCTTGCGTTGTCGTTAATCAACGCCCATTCGGCTCACTACTATCACAATCCATCTGACTGAAATTCTGGTTTCCACCCACCTCGACGCAACACGACTTGATACACTCCTCAACCGTATCGGTCACGCTGAAAATGACACCCATGTCCCAACTCTCGAAGGCGGACGTCCGCCTATTTTTGCGACAGCTCCAGGCCAATTCTGCCGACGTGACCAAGTGGGAACCCATGATGCGCCTTTCCCTGCTGCGCGGTGGGCTCATCGATTTTACAATTTATGGCCGCCGTGTAGCATCAGCGCCTCGTCTTGCTTTGATGGCTGTATCTCAGAGCGCTCTTGCCTTCCTCGCCAAGCATCCTTGCGCACCAGCAATCAACTTCACCTTCGACGTACCCGCTGTACAGCTGCGAGGTGGAAATGGCCAGGCAAAACTCGTCTCCGGGAAGTGCAAGATGCGCGAAGCTCAGATCAAGATCCATGAAGCTGCTCTTGTTGCGATCTCACAGTGGCTTACCGCCCTGTGCACACCCGCACTGATGCCTCTTGCCGGAGCAAACTTCTCGATCGAGGCGTGCATCCGCTTCATCTGCGTTCACACTCTACACGCGCCAGACTATGTCCAGCACCTGACCGACAAGTTCATTACGGACGCCGGTAGGCTTGCACTGAGCTCGCAGCAAGTGACAGAGCTTGTCAGGTCGTGCCGCGGTGACAACGACCAATTGCTCATGGGGCTCGCGGAGAAGTTGATTGGGAAAAAGCTCGACGGCCAGCTCGCTCCTAAGCAACTGAGCATGTTCTTGTGCAAGGCAGGCAACGAATTACTGAAGAAGAAGGTCGAGACCCTGGAGAAAGAGATGGGCTTCACGAGTAAAGGGACGGGCCCGAAGGCGGCATTGCAGTCCTGGACTGAGGGATTTCCTTCCTCGTTCCCCACAGCGGCAACCCGTTCCGCGGGGCGGATTCATGAGATCAAAGACCATGAGACAATCGAGATCGACAAAGACGTAATGAAAGTGGATGCAGACGGGTGGCAAGTACCTCGTGCGAAAGAGGAAGCGGCAGCGTCGAAGAGGCAAAAATTGACGCACAACAAGAATGGTAAGAAGTAAGAAATGGTCAAGCTGGAGAGGGATTGACCGGTTCGAGCTGAAGGCGCTGTGGGTTGTGACCTGGACATCCGAGTCGATCTTTGATCGTCGACCAGGAGTACTATACAGGTCTAGCACGATGCGTTGATGTCAGTCTCTAACGATGGGCTGCCCGTAAAGATCCTACGTGTACGAAAGAAATTCTCCTCTTCAAACTGAAATGGAAAGAATACTACCGTCTGCTGATGTGCTTACGGGGCTAGACTATTGCGCATTGCCTGGAAGGCTTATACAGGTGATAACTAATACATCCTAACTCATTTCACCTCCGCTCGTTCGTGAACGGCCTAGATACCGGTCAGTCCCCACCGACTAAGATGATGGCCTTGATTCGGCACACACCACCGAGCGAGATGTCTACACGAACATGCAGTTGCTCCACAATGCTACCGCCACTACAAAAGCTTGATCGCACACCGATCTGCATCGCTTCAACCATTCCGACATCTAGCGAGAACCTGCATGCATCGGAGCTCTAATGAGTGGGCAGTGGGGTAGCGCTGACCGGAACACCAAGGTTTTGCCGGCAGGACGCCTCGCATTCGCCTGCGTCTGCGCAGGTAGGACAGTACCGAATACTTGGGAATAGATCACTCCACTCCAGGGTCTGGCTGAATCTTTGTATGAAGGAGCAGGGCCTGCATGAGATGGCATCGGGATGGAATCGCTGGTAGAACCCAATCTAATTATGGAACCGTGTAGTAGCGCGCTGCGGGCGAGCCCTGACGTCTTGTCAAACTATCGCGAAATGCCTCGCCGTGTCAGCAACGACCCTCAGACTTGACAGTACGCACTCAGAATCTGATCGTGCCCAAACGAGACGACGAAAAAACGAATTCGGCTCTCCATGCTGAGGTCCGAGCAGACTGTGCGACGAATGCACTGTTTCTGGAAACATTCTGTGGATCACCCTTGTGCCGATGCTGTCGATCTCACGTCGGGGATTTTGAGCACCGACAACAACACAGCGAACGCGCCAAGATCAACATTCCACGACCGCAAAACCTTGAAGCCACTTGTCAGCGCCAGCGCTGAAGATACGTCTATCACACCTGTCAGGGTCCGGGCCTTGCTGTAGCTCGACATTAGTAACTGGGAACGTGTTCCGGTGCGCGATACTAGGCAGGAAGTCGCATGTAGCGCGAGGCCGCCAACGGCTTACACGACCCCCATCCACCAATGCCATGGACCGGAATCGTCAGATCTTAGAAGTGGGTACGGCTCGAATCGGTCAGAATGGATACAAGAGATGCAGAGGGTGAGGAACTGTAGATTGCCGGTGGGTAAGATCGCTGTTTAGTGTTTATCGAATTTCCTACAGTTTTGCGCGGATGCGTCGGTACGGCTGTCATCACCATCGGTCTAATTTTGATCGCGACCCATCTCACGGTCAGCCGTTGAGAGCGGCGAACGTTGGTGTTTGGGTATATATTTCTTTGGAGTTTCTCGAGTTTGGTTTCGTCAGGCTCAACAGTTCAGCACGGTTTCATCTTTCTTTCTTCTTCCAAATTCGCTAGCCTTGCGTCCATATACTGGTATCATTGCTGTCGTTGAAGTTAAATCTTTGAGCAACACAACACTATCGCCAAGGACCTTCGTTACTTCTCCAACATGCGTTACTCCGCCATCACCCTCGTTGCCCTTACGGCGACATCGTCTTCAGCTTTCTCCCTATGGCCTCGCCAAAGCTCTAGCTGTCCTTCCGTCTGGTCTGATGTCGCCACCGAGCTTCAAGCCGACTTTGCTGGCTGTGGCGCGGATGCTCACCAAGCACTCCGTGCCCCCTTCCACGACTGCATCAACAATGGCTGTGACGGCAGTCTCGTTCTCACAGACGAGTGTGGAAGATCAGAGAACGCCGGTCTCTCAGCTATCTGCACGAAGCTCAAGGACTGGAGCGACAAGTACCAAGTCAGCGCAGCAGATATGATCCAATTCGCCGGCGCACAAGCAATCGCAGCGTGTCCGCTCGGCCCCAGAGTGCAAGCACTAGTTGGCCGCAAGGACAGCTCAAACGCCGCGCCTGTCGGAAGTGTACCGAGCAGCCGTGGCACTCTTGAAAGCATCTTGGGAGCCTTCGCTGCGAAAGGGTTCTCATCCGATGATGTCGTTGCCCTCATGGGTGCGCACAGTGTGGCAGTCCAGTTCCACGACGACCCATCGCAAGCCGGAAAGGGTCTTGACTCGACGCCTTTCCGATACGACAACACTTTCTACCAAGAGACCAAGGACCGCAAGGCCCCTTACAGTCTTCAAAGCGATCTTCTCATGTCAAACTCTTCAGAGGTATGTGTCCATTATCTTGAACTTCTCACCCGATCCGTCACTAACAGTCTTTGCAGACAGCCACCACCTGGTCTAACTTTGCCGAAGACGCAAACAGCTGGTCTACTGCTTTCACTAGTGCATGGGACCGGTTCGCTGTCATCGGAAGCGACGCCAGCAAGCTCCAAGATTGCTCGAGCTTGGTTCCTAATGGCTTTGTGACCACCAAGAGGCAGGCGTTCAACATGGCGTTCACCAAGAAGATGAGCGCAAAGTTCAGGTTGTAGAAGAGATGACAGCATATGCTGCTTAGTCTGGATACTAATAGCGATGGCATGGCGTTTGGGTATTAGACCATGATGGTTCTGGGGTGGCTTTACTGTGCTTTCAAGATACTCCGCAATACGTTGCACGTTAATGTTTACTTTCATTAATGTATTAAATCTATCTCATCTTACTCTTGCAGCTATCATCTTCGGCATGTGCGTGCTGATCTTGTTCTACAGATGATATAACCCTTACAATAAAAAGAGCGATACAGCCACACGACACAAGCTTTCCTGGACACGTGGGTGGGGAGAGGCAGTGTAGCAATGCGCTGCTCTTGGACGAAGCTTCCTCAATCTCCAAGACGGATCCTCGAAGCGACGTCTGGGACCTTTTCACCAAGCGGAGACTAGCGGATACGGCCCTACTGCATGAGCTCTGAACGTGATTACTTCTATGGCATCTGTCAAGTTATTTCTCAACTGCATCAAACTGCGCGCTCATCTTCACCATCCTCCTGGTGGAGTTGCTCACCATCACCACTCACTTTCATCGCATTACGCAGGCGACGCGTCCAAGCGCCTTGGAGCTTAAGACATAGGTAGTTCTGCCAGATCCTACGCTTTTCCACTACACCACTACACCAACAACCCCCGCGATTGGCACATCTCGACGCGAGTGAACATGGCGTAAGTACTCAGCAACCCTACTACCACGCTTATGCTAACCTGTCAGTGGAAGAAAGAGAGCACTCGAGCCTGCCGTTGATGGCGGGCCTGCTACTGCGACAAGCACCCGTCGTAAGCGCGCTCGCAAAAAGGTGGTCAACGACAAATCTCTGCTGCTGAAGCTCCCCGGAGGTGAGTGACATCATCAAAGGAACCATTTGAGTTTAGCTAACTGGATGGACAGAGTTGAGAAACCGCATCTACGAGTTCATCATGGAAGACGTGAAAGAGTACAAGAAGGGCAAGACTTCAAAAGCACCGAAACGTCGAGGAGGTGGTCCGTCTACGAAGTTCGACAACGATGCGCCGATTCGCCTCAAGTACACATCTGTCAAATCTCACAAGCGCTTCAAGACAGCTAAGCAATGGGCTGCCGCGCACGAACGTCGCCCTTACTTCGGTTTGACTCAAGCCTGTCGTATGCTGCGCGAAGAATTTCGTCCGCTATACATGAGTGAGCTCGGGTTCTGTATCGATCTGCACGTTGGCGAGTACCTTTTGGCGCTTGGATCCAATGAAGAAGAGCAGAACATCGGTCAGTCTATTGCGGACATCATGCGAGCTCCACTTTCGGACGATGGGGCGGACTTGCTTCCTTTCTTGAAAACGCTCCATGGACTGAAGCAACCTCGACTGGACAAGTCCTGCGTATTCTCTCGGGGACGGCAATGCTGGGACCGCGACTGTGTATTTGCCATACTTTGTCACTCTTGGCAAAGGGATACAGATGGTCTTGCTGAAGCAAAAACTGGTATCACCAAGATCACCTTCGTCAAGCGCCCGGATTGCTATAACTTGTCGAACGGCAGACCGATGCTGGTTCTGGATTTGGACTCAAAGTTCTTCATGTCGCGAACCCGAAAGGTCATGGATGTCCATATGAGGACGTTGATCTCTCGTTTCGATCTGGGAGATCTCCATACGATGATCACACGGTTTCGTTGCGGGGGTGAGAGCTTCACGTACACCACCGATGCGCATAGCTACTGGGGGGATCGCCTATCGCGAGGAGTCGAGCTAGTCCGTGACTGAAGATTTGGGACGCATCTGCAAGACAGGGAAAGGCGAGTGTCAGGATCCGAAGGGTGTTTGTGGTAGCAAGATCTGGATCAGCGTCGTGCAGTCGTAGAAGCCGCAATCCTTCGATTGGCTCCGATTCTTTAGTGTAGCAATGCACGTATGACCCTGGAGATATAAATCATCGTGAGGATCAATGCATAGAAATGCTCAGCACAGTGAATACCCCCGCTGTATGTCACGTCAGTCACAACGTTATGGTTCAAGGGACCTGCGATATACCATGATTATGGCGGTCTCGACGACACATGTTGGTCGAAGTTTCCTTACTGAATTCGCTGACGTCATGCGCAAAAATCTAAGTGGAAGGGTCTTCGGCTGATAACATCAGAGGGAAGCTACGACCTTCGTCCAGTCGTGCAACAACAGTGCCACGCCTACCCTCTAAGAACAAGCTCCCCCCCTACACAGTGACCACATAAACGCGCCTCTATCCTTGACATCCCTAGTTTAAAACTCGTAGATCGTGTCAAAGCGAACCTACTTACAAAACGTATATACACGTTACACACGCTCTAAACGCTTTATCTATAATATAAATATTTATACATTTTATTATTTATTATTTATCTAATATTATATTTTTAGTACTATTCTTTAAGTAGCCTTATATATTTATTTATATTAGTACTTATACATTATATAAAGTAAGTATATAGTTTATTCTTATCTATTATTTAATATTACTAAAGAAAGATACTTAATATATAAAAGCTAACTTTTTTAAAGTAAGCTAGTATATAAAAAGTATTATTTTTATTAGTAGTTTATATACTATTACCTACTTATTTTAAATAAAAGCTTAAGCTACTAGTATAAGTTCTAAGTAGATATTAGTAGAACTTATATAAAATATAGTAAGTACTTACTTTATTAAGTATTTATATAGTAAGTATATATTTTTAAGTTATATAAAAGCTCTATATTTAGCTTTTAGTAGAAGTAATACTAAAAAGCCTATAAAATAGCTAATTACTTAAGAGTAGTATTTTTAGCTAAAAAAGTAGTAGTAATAATATTAAAGAAAATAGTAAAAGTAATTATAGCTATAGTTAGATTATTTAAGTTCTAAATAAAAAGAGTAATAAACTAGAAAGTAAAATATACTATTATCTTATATATTATATATAAGAGAGAAAGTAAAGTTATAAAGATAAAGCTTTTATACTTTTTTTTAACTTATATATATATAAAAATCTTAAACTTTAGTTCTATTCTATTTTATTTTATAGTACTATAATAACTTATTAATAATAAGCTACTTATAACTCTTATAATATACATAAGATACATAATAACTAAATCTACCTATTAAATATAGAAGGGATGCGAAAGAGGTCACAAAACGTACGACACGTCGTTCTCAACTATCGAGTTCTTGCCTACAAACCCTCCTCTGGTCTCTCCAGGAATACTAAAGACCACTGCTGGGGATGACAACGGTGTTACAGTCTACGCTCGCATTCATCACATACATGGTATAGTGGTACAAACCGCTCAACATCTAAATACCCATCATCATTGTCAGGGGAACAGGCGCGCATGCTATGGCAGCACTTCTTGCTGTATTCTCCGCGCAATATTATGCTCAAACAAACAAGGTTAGTAATCGTAATCCGAATACACCGGTAGTAAATACGAACCCTCCGGGAGATATGGGGAGAGATTTACGGAAGGAGGACTTGTGTAAAGGCCGGCTTGTGGGGCTGGAAGTCTTAAAACTTAGCTACGTCACTGGGAGTACCGCACGCTTACCGCCCGAAAGATGAGCCCGGTGTCGCATCGGGTAATCGGTTCATCAGACCGGTTTGTAATATCAGCAGCACCAGATAATCTCCTCTCACCTTTACTATCACCTTGACCTTCGATCCGACTATACGCACGTGCCACACCGACTAGTAACAAGCATATAAGCGAGGAGAAGTCGATTAATATAAGCTGCTATTGCTGCAACCTCCACCACGATACGTTCAACCTTTCCAAGTTTCTCAACGAGACGTCGCAACCCAAGAGCCATGGCGTGAGCGTCCACTGCCCGCTCAACAGCTTCAAGACTAACCGCTTAACAGATCAAAGCGCCAAGGCAACGCACTTCTTGATCTCAAGGGTCCCCCTCATAAGCGGGCTCGTAAAGACGTTGCCAACAACAAGTCTTCGCTTCTCAACCTACCTGGAGGTACGAAGTTCTTGATTTCGAGAGATGGAGGTACTAACCATTCGAATAGAGATTAGAAATCGTGTCTACGAATTCGCCCTAGCGGACACAATGCAACAACTTGATGGTCGTCGAATCCGCCTAAAATACATGTTGATCAAGGCCTCTTGTCAGCTAAGGATATTGTATCTCGTTATGGACCTTGGCCCGACGACTGAGGAACTCGAGAGCTGGCAGCCAAAGCTCAATACATACTGGAGAGCAGCGCATGGGCAGTGCAAATACTGGGGTCTTATCCAGGCTTGTCAAGTATTGCGTCAGGAATTTCGCCCTCTACATCAGAGAACTCTACCTTTCACCATCTCAGCGCAGCATCTTAGCCAATACCTTTACGCTTTCGGCACAACAGAAAATGCGTTGGCTCTTGGAAAGTCGTTCACAGACATCGTTAACCAGCCCCTCCTTCCAGACGTGAGGTTGGACATTCTGCCGGTTCTAAGAAAGCTTTCCAAGCAACGGAAGTCGCTTCCTTGGCTTACCAAGCATTCTCTTGGGAACAAAAGCCGCTGGAAGACTAGGAACCTGCTCACTACTTTGTTCTACCATTGGGCCCAACCGCCAAAGGGTTTTGAGGTTGTTGAGCGTGACATCGCCTCTGTCACTCTGACCATGGGCAAGGTTCACGGCACTCACGGCGCTCATGAGCAGCCATCGATGATCATTGGATTACGCTGCGCCTGCTTCACAGATCTCACCTCTGATGAGAAAGGCGCAACCATGCTGGACTTTATCAAGGCAACCGGGCTGGAGAAATTACATTGCTTCATCACGGAGTTCCGCTGTTGTGGACGGCGCTACACGTGGCAAATGCCTGGAGGTCAGTCCGGGGCCACTGAGTCACCGATGCAGATCTCTGAAGTCCAAGACGAGGATTAGCGCGCTTGTTATTGAGGAATTGAAGGGGCTTCATGAATGGGTTGGGGTTCCGGTCGACTGACCAAGAAAAGTTTGACTTTCACGGTTTTTGAGGGCGATATAGCGTCACAGAATTAAAAGCAATGGTTTCTGTTCCAACAGCTCCAACGTCTTCTGGGTTAGGACGCTTGTGATTAATGAAAATTCAGGAGAGATAAGACTGGAAACATGCAAAACGCGATATGTCCACGACAACACCAACACGAGAACGACTGGCGTTGTGGTGATCAAGCAGCTCTGAGGTATACAATGTCGCATGACTTGTCGCTCATCAATGTTTGATAGAACAGAGACCTCTACGGCATGCTGCGGGATTCGTATCGCATTCTACAAATAATTCGGGTTGGGAGGATACATAATCTCGTAGACTGCCCAGTTATCAGTATTTAATATCATGTATACTGTAAACTGCAAGCTGAGACAGGACGAGCTGTGGCGGCACCTAGTGGCATTGATCTCTTGAAAACGACTCGTCTCGAGAGGGCGCGTTATCAGGACGTGAGTCAGCTTCAAATTGGCCGCGGCAACATACAGACGAAAATACACGGAGGACAAGCGCATCAATGAATTACAGTGGTATGCAACCGACCAAATATATAAAACGGCATGCAATAGACGTAATAGCAAAGTCTGCAGAGCAAGGTGGTGATCATGAAGAGGTAGAAGTATCATTCCAAAAACATCGCTACAAGAATCGAAGTTACCCATCAAGGGTAAGTATATATACAAGATGAATATCGCAAAAGATGCGAGATTGTCTACTGAAGAGCCTCAATCATGCGGCGGATCTTAGCAGCAGACTCGGTACCAGCCTCCTGCTCAAGGAAAGCAATGAAGGTCTCGAGAGTGTAGGTCTTCTCACCAGCACCGGCTGAGGGTGCGGGTGCGGATGAAGCAGCAGGCTTGGTGGGCTCAACGGCCTCGGGTGCGACGGAGGTAGGCTCGGCCTCGATCGGGGCAGCAGGGGTGGGCTTAGCAGCTGAGGGCTTGGGAGCCTCAGGGGTAGGCTTGGGGGCAGCGCCGGTGGGCTTAGGGGCAACTGCAGTGGGCTTAGGGGCAGGAGCGGAGGGCATAGGACCCTTGGAAGGACCGGGCTTGTTGGCCTCAGGCTTGACGCACTGGGAGTAGTATGGGTTCCACTCCTTGCACTCAAGACCCTCAGCGCATGTGTTGTCACCCTTGAAGCCCTGGCCACCACACTGGTAGTACTCCTTGATGGGACCAGATGGCTCAGCGGTAGGAGTAGGGCGGACAGCGGTGAGCATGGTGGTAGGAGCAACGATAGCGCTGGAGACGGTGCCAGGAAGCATCGAAGAGGTGCTGTTGGCTACGGGGTAGGGGGCGACAACGCTGGAGACCTCAGGAGCAGCGGCAGAAGAAGCGGCAGCAGAGGTAGCGGCGGCAGAGGTAGCGGCAGCAGAGCTCTCAACGGCAGAAGAGACCTCAACTGGGGCAACCGAAGAAGGCTCAGCCTCGGCAGCGGCGCTGGTGGAAGCGGGAGCAGCAGTGGAAGAGGCGACAGCGGAGGCCGGGGTGGAGGCAGCAGGAGTCTCAGCACCGCCGGTAGCGGTAGCAGCAGGGGCACCGGCGAGCTCGCCGAATGTGAGAAGCTCGGGGGTGGCCTCAGTACCACCAGCGATGAGCGCAGGGCCAGGGGCGGGGTACGACTCGAGATCGGCGTGGATGGAGAAACCAAGACCAGGACCAGTCTTGGAGTAGGCCTCTGGGAAAGTGACGCCCTTGGGCTCGAGGGTTCCGCTACCGGTGACGGTAAGCTGGTAGCAGGTCATGTAGTGCTGAGCACCACCAGCGGGGCCTGCAGCGT